AACATATGTAAATGCATCTAAACACACGTTAACACTAGGCAAGTGTGGCACTTGAGTGTTTTCTCATTTCAGTGGCCAGAATGTAATTATTATTATGGCCAGTGAAATGAATAAACTTCCAAGCACTTGATATGAGTAAACGGTGTTAAAGCATTTTTTGGCTGCCAGGAGAAAAACTTCCAGGGCAGTTGATTTTAGTATCCAGTGTGCATGCACCATCAGTAGTGGTGTTATATTATTATTATTATACAGTATTTATAAAGCGCCAATAGTTCGCTCAGCGCTGTACATTATAAAGGGGGACAGTACATGTGACAGAACAATACCAATACAATGCAAAACATGAGGGGATCGAGGGCCCTGCTCTTTCAAGCTTACAATCTAGGAGGGAGTACTAGTATTATATTTGTTTTCCAAAACAATTGTTTTTAAGGATTATAAAAATATTTCATGATTCTTCAAAGTGTATAACAATGGCTAAGTATTGGCTTGAATAACATTTTGCAATATTTACATTTAATTTATTTATTATTTGATTTTTTGTATGTGTCAGAGTTCGAAAGGTATCAATAAAAATGTTCCTATACTTAAAAAAGTGTGCATGTTTTTGTCTCATTTTGCCTGTCTTTGTCTTTTCCATTTAAAAATACAGTGCCTTGAAAAAGTACTCATATCCCTTGAAATTTTCCACATTTTGTCATGTTACAACAAAAAATGTAAAATGTATTTTATTGGGATTTTATGTGATAGACCAACACAAAGTGGCACATAATTGTAAAATTAAAGGAAAATGATAAATGGTTTTCAAAATTTTTTACAAATAAATATGTGAAAAGTGTGGTGTGCATTTGTATTCAGCCCCCCAAGTTAATATTTTTTAAAACTACCTTTCACTGCAATTACAGCTGCAAGTCTTTTTGGGTATATCTCTACCAGCTTTGCACATCTAGAGAGTGAAATGTTTGCCCATTTTTCTTTGCAAAATAGCTCAAGCTCTGTCAGATTGGATGGAGAGCATCCGTGAACAGCAATTTTCAAATATTGCCACAGATTCTCAATTGGATTTAGGACTGAACTTTGACTGGGCCATTCTAGCACATTAACATACTTTGATCTCAACCATTCCATTGTAGTTCTGGCTGTATGTTTAGGGCTGTTGTCCTGCTGGAAGGTGAACCTCTGCTCCAGTCTCAATTCTTTTACAGACTCTAACAGGTTTTCTTCTAAGATTGCCCTGTATTTGGCTCCATTCATCTTCCCATCAACTCTGACCAGCTTCCCTGCTGAAGAAAAGCATCCCAACAACTTGATGTTGCCACCACCATGTTTCACAGTGGAGATGGTATGTTCAGGGTGATGTGCAATGTTACCTCTCTGCCACACATAGCGTTTTGCTTTTAGGCCAAAAAGTTCAGACCAGAGCATCTTCTTCCACATGTTTGCTGTGTCCCCCACATGCTTCTCGCAAACTGCAAATGGGACTTATGGCTTTCTTTCAACAATGGATTTCTTCTTGCCACTTTTTTTTCCAAAAAGACCAGATTTGTGGAGTGCATGACCAATAGTTGTCTTGTGGACAGATTATTCTGCCTCAGCTGTGGATCTCTGCAGCTCCTCCAGAGTTACCATGGGTCTCTTGGCTGCTTCTCTGATTAATGGTCTCCTTGCCTGGCCTGTCAGTTTAGGTGAATGGCCATGTTTATGTAGGTTTGCAGTTTTACCATACTCTTTTCATTTTCAGATGATGGATTGAACAGTGCTCCGTGAGAAGTTCAAAGCTTGGGAAAAAATTTTTAACCTAACCCTGCTTTAAACTGCCCCACAACTTTATCCTTGACCTGTCTGGAGTTTTCCTTGGCCTTCATGATGCTATTTGTTCACTAATGTTCTCTAACAAACCTCTGAGGACTTCACAGAACAGCTGTATTTATACTGAGATTAAATTACACACAGGTGGACTCTATTTACTAATTGGGTGACTTCTGAAGGAAATTGGTTCTACTAAATTTTAGTTAGGGGTATCAGAGTAAAGGGAGCTGAATACAAATGCATGCCACACTTTTCAAATATGTATTTGTAAAAAAAGTTTGAAAACCATTTATCACTTTCCTTCCACTTCACAATTATCAAATCCCAATAAAATTAATTTACATATTTGGGTATAACATGACAAAATATGGAAAATTTTAAGGAGTATGAATACTTTTTCAAGGCACTGTACAAATAGCTATTTATTCAAAAAAGACATACTGATAGGGGCTTGGTATAGATCCAGAATTGCTTTTTTTTTATCAACTAGAGTAGGGATGAATAATCATTAAAAGCATGCTTATAATGATACAAGGAAAAACTGCCACTTGGTCTCTGCCTCATACTGTGTATAATAGTAAACAAAGGTGCACAAATGAGCCAAAACCACCTTAAAGGATACCTAAACCCAAGAGAAAAATGTAACCTATTGCAGCTTACCCGTCTATAGATGTGGAGTCTGGATTCATTTATCAGGCTAAGAACATTTTCAGCAAGTACAAAAAATAAATTTGTTCTTGCCAAAAATGCAGTGTCCTTGTAGCTTCCCATTAGCTGACCTGAAAGCAAAAGCAAAGTTATCTTTCTTCTGTAAACCAATAATCTCCCCACCCCCATGCAATGGAGATGATCAAAGGCAGACCTATTTGGAGTTCATTCTGGGTGGCAACCATGGCTCCCTCCACTCTAAATACAGTAAGGGAGTGAGTGTAGTTACCCAGAAACAGGTAGTGTTAGTCACAGGATTACCAGGTGAAAGAAAGGAAAGCTAATGCAGTCACTTCTAAGAAGTGGTAAGTTGCAATATACAGTATTACACTTTTGTTTTGGGGTTTAGATAACTACTGCAAGACAATATTGCCGAAGAAAAGCCTAGTTTATCCCCCCAAAAATCAATGCATGTATTACTCTGATATCTTAAAAATGTTATTGTCAAATAAACAAACCTATAGAGAAAACTGTGATCCATAATGGGTTTACAAGTATGAGAGCTGAAGTGGCTAGACATCCATTCAACAACGTTTTTTCTATAAAATGTGGATTGCCTTTATATATATCCTAAATATTTACCTCTTTTCCCTATAAATTCCCACTACCAGTTGCCTTGCTTGGCTATACGTGAGAAGTGGTTCATAATCTTGACTGCCCTCCGTGGTTTCAGAAGAAACATCTGGCAGCAAGTCACGCATTGTATTCACAGGCTCACTGTGACTCCACTTACAATTCAGCTCTGCAGGAAACTAATGAGCAGTTTATATTTTGCAGATGGCTTTGGCAATGTGATGTAATAATGAATAAAAGCCTGCTTTGGGTATGCAGAAAAGGAAAGTGCTTAAAATGGCCTGAGGATATCTTCTGGCACCATTTAGAAATTGTCACTTCAGTTTAAGTCAAAAGATTTGTCTTTACTCATTACAGCTTTGGTAGTCTCAAAGAATAAAACTGGTAAAATTTCCGCTGATAGTGCCTACCTTCTGAATTTAAAATCAGTATTAAACATAAGGTCTAAAAATACGGATATTTGTCGCTTATGCAGCTCTAATTATAATCACATAGCAATCGCTCTTTAGGTATCATAGTTATGAATTTGCTGTCACTACTTCCAATTTTTAAAAAAACTGTTGCATATACTTATGCAATGTAAAAAAGTAATACTTTGTGATAATATCCACACAGTAAGCATATGTTCTCTATAGTAGGTCTATGTATCAAAATGCACATTCACCTGACTGCTGGATGCACCTCAAACAGAAAACACCAGATATATTTATTTCATATTAAATTATATTGAAAGCCAAAAAAAAAAAAACTGAAATGGTTGCAAACTCTTCCTTAACCTAAGGAAAAGTAATATGCTTGATACAAACACCTGACGAATGCCCATTCTCTAGGGGAGCCTTATGGAGCATACACACTGGTCATTTTAAGAACATTGATAACGTTAGATGTATAAAGTCGCATTAAAAATGTGAGTTTTTCAGCGTTTTTTTTTTTTTTTAGCATTTTCGTATTAGTATTTTGCCGCGTTTTTTCACTTTTGTGTTTTTTTAGCATTTTTTTCCCTCAAAAACATTTTTTGGTGTCAAAAAAAGTCATGGTTTGCCATGATTTATGCATTTTACTGTGTTTTACTGCGTTTTTCAGCTTTAAAGCATTTTTACAGCTAGAAAAAACTCCTCTAGAAACCCATTAGTCCTGGGTTTTTTTTCCACCCAAAAAATGCCCCTGCCAAAAAACATTGATTACAGTCTATGTGTACATGGACACACAGGATAACATGCTGGCGGGTTTACTGGCTGTAGAAAAAAACGTCAAAAGCCCAAAACAGCAGCTGTAAAAAAGTCCAGTGTGCATGAGGACTTAATGACCATTGTGTTTGGTGCTCCTGGCTTAAGACTTTACTTTTAAATAGGATCAAGGCCAGGTTTTCCACAAAGCCAGTATAGGTTGTGGCCTAAAGCAACAGGACAGCCGGGATCAGAAGCATGTTTCCTACAAATTATGTTGCTGACTCTCAGTGATACATTCCTGTGTATATTTTAAAGTTCTAGGATGTTCATACGTCTGCCAGTAAAATTTGGCTGGGTTGTCATTGATGTCCCTTCAGAGTTTGTATATTTTTGTTGGTCTCACTCTGGCTCCATACACCAAGAACCAGGTTGCTGGCAGGGGATGATGAACGGTTATGTTAGCTGCCAGTTCGTTGATTGGAAACAAGAAAGGAACTGGGACCTGTACGTAGATGCTGCTAATTTGTCCAGGTGCTGGTTTTAACTATTCATTGGAGTCAGGGGCGGACTGACAACTCATGGGGCCCCCGGGCAATAGGGGATCATGGGCCCCTGTGTCCTTGCCCAAGCTCAAAAAAGCCTATGAAAAAGGTACCAGGGGCATCTCATGGGGCCCCCTACTGACCCGGGCCCTCGGGCAGTGCCCAAGTTTCCAAATGGTCAGTCCGCCCCTGATTGGAGTTATTTTTGCTTCCTTATCAGCTATACAAGATTTGGTCGCCTGATTACATTAATGCAATATTGGCTTAACCTATCCCAGTCCTGCTAAAAGCTCATGAACTTATCATAAGGGCTGATTTTGGGTATGTGTGACTTTCTACATTTGTAACAAGTTTATATCCCTTGTATCCTTCTAAACTTGCCTATGCCATTTCATATCTGTGCTCTCTTATGATTCTTGTTTGATTTCATTGATTGGGCAAATTGTCTCTCTCTCTCTGTCTTCTCCAAGCCTTGGAGTCATTTGTGTTGCTAATATCTATGATCCCATGATGTTAAAGTGGAAGTAAACCCTCCTAACATTTTCAGCCAAGGAAGCTGCCATCATATCCTCTGTTCGATCTACAAGTGCCATGATGCTTCACATGTGATCAGTTATGACACCAGCCACTTCATGGTTTGACAGTTTATTTGAGAGCACATGCAAATGTGACAGTTACATTCCCGATGCATGGCAGGAATGTAACTTTTTTTGAAACTGTTAAATTGATGGGTTTAGTTCTGCTTTAAGATTTACCAGTTAACTGGAAGGAACAAGACAATTGGTCTACAGTGATAGGTAATATAAGCTCTTTACTGAACATATTAAATGCACATTTTTTTAAAATAGTACACTGAGACAACCAGAATTTTTAAACTTGTTTTTAAGTGGAATTATACTCATTTGAATCCAGTGATTAATTGTCCCCCCAACTACTTGGGTCTAGATCGCTGGCCACTGTCACTGGCTGGGCCGAGATGAAGCATGCTGGGGAGTTCCATTAGATTCTACACTGCTGAATTTGTGCAGTGAGCTTAGCTTGCACAGCTTACTGTACAGGGGCGGTCAGGCAGGTAACAAGCTTTAATGCAGAAGAGACAAAGCATATCTGTTTTTCATTAAAAATCCTGCCTGTCTGCCAATTTTCAAATCCTAGCAAAATTACACTTTAAGGTTTCTGAAATGTATAATACATAGACTATCCATTCCAAACACTCATTATACCCACCCAATTGTGTTTATTATTTGAAAGGAATGTATGGTATTCTCAGTGATTTCGAGGCAAATATGCAAAAGTGATCAGTTTTATGTACACCATATAATCTCCATATGTTCATGTTTTAAATGTTTGTTTCTATGAATAGTTTGTTATTACAGTACATGTTTACATTGGAGCAGCAATATATGCTCATTACATACACAGAATCTGCCTCCTACTTAGTAGTTCTACACAACAGTTGTACTTTACTACTCCCTCTCAAAATGTTTATTAGTAGGATAACCCACGGAAAACAGGGCTGTGGATGTGGATCCCCATTCTAGTGAATAATCTGCAAATGTCTATGTTTATAACACTGGCAAAAATCCAAAGGAGAAAACTTATGAATGTCAAATAAAATATGAATTTAGGAATCCTGTCTAAATTGGCCCTAGTACATGTATGTATGAATGTAAGTTAGGGACCTTAGATTGTACACCCCTTGAGGGTTAGGGACTGATGTGAATGTACAATATATATGTAAAGCTCTGCGTAAATTGATGGCGCTATATAAGTACCTGTAATAAATAAATAAATAATAAATAAACATAGCTATAATAACTCAATCAATGTGCTCTATGAAAATATAATGTTCCCTGATTGTTGTTATCCTTTACTCTAGTCAGGTAAATCAAGGAGCAATCGCAATTCTTACACTGCTAGCCAGAATTGCACAGTATATAGCTATGACGTAGTCACTAAATTTGAATAATTGGCAGTCCCTTTTGGCTACTGAGAACCATCCACTACTCATTTTGAACAGCCAGTTATTCAAATTCAGTGACAAGATGATAGCTTTATACTATGCAATTTTGTGCTGGCAATGTACCATATTTGTATGGCACTTGAGATATTTGGCTAGTATATGTGATAAGATAGCTATCACATAGTAAATTAAGTTGAATGAATGGTGCTCAAAGGTACTCAGCAGACAGATTTCTAAGCTATTTTCTGCAATGCCAAATTGAGTTTTTATACTGTGGCATAACATCTGCCAAGTCATCATGGTTAAATAAACTTTCATTATGCCACATCTCTGCACATTTATAATATGTTGCCTGAATTTGAAGCCCAGTTATGGGATCAGCCCACAATGTCTTACCAATAACTGAAATATTACTTTTAGGTGCGTCTACCTTTTAAACCGTAGTTTTCCAGTAATGTGATCACAATATTGAAGTATATTACTGATTGCACTAATTATTTTCAGCTGCTTATTGTTTACATTTTGCTAATAGTTTCAGTATTAGTTCAATATCCACATACAAGATATGCCAAACCTTGTTGTAGAATAATAGAATAATTAGAAGAGTTCAGGCTTTGATTAAAATCAATCCAATCTAGCAGAGGCTGTGCTATGCACATTTCCAGTAAGTGGTCATCTGGTTTTCATCATATGGCAACCAAGACTGTAAAAGTGGTACAGATAAACAATCCAATCCACAGCTCTTTAATTATAGATACTGAGATACAGATATTTTGGGTTTATCCTCCAAAATCCACACAATTTGGACTTTTTACTCTTTGCATGATGTGCTCATGCAACAAACTAAAACACTGTACATTTTAATATGCTTACTATGTTTTTCATTGCATCATTCAGAAATTCTTATATTTTCAAACATATCAAACATTAGATGATCACCTTAAAAATGAGCCTGTCCATTGCCCACATAGAATAAATCATATCAAACGAGCGCTAGGTAAGATTGGTTGAGCAGCTAGCATAAAGGTAAACCTCTAAAACCTTCTCATAAAATCATAACATAAAATATGCAGTGCTGTATAAAATGAGGATAAATAAATCAGCTTCTTAATAATAATAATAAAAGCAATAAAAGCAACAAAAGCACTCCAGAGCGCCAAAAACAGTAGTGTAAGTAACGTCCAGGTGTGACGTAATAAGGTGCATAAAGTGGTGTGAAGCAAAACAATTTCAAGTTCAATATCAATCAAAAAGTGAAACTCCGTGACTCCAGTGGCTGAAAATGAGTGTATATTGCACTAACCAGAAAGCGCAATGTAATGCGCATTTGAGTAATTCAAATCAACTTCTGGTCATCTGGATCTGGAAAATGGGACACTGGGGGTCATCTGGCAAACCTCAACAAGACAGGTAACACGCCGCATACATCTCCAGGCTCCAGGAGCAAAACATCCATCCAGCAGGGGGAACAACTCGTGAAGGTAGATGCAGAGTAACAGGGATTCACCTTAGGGGGGGCTCGTAACAAACGGAGTACTGAAAAATACTCCATAGCATTTCCAGTAGTGGTCATCTAGATTAAGGGCAAGTTCACACTACATGCAGTCCAGTGCATTTTTTTCTGCATCACAAATGCATTGATGGTAGGTTACATGGTTTCCAATGGCATAATTCACATCAGTGCAGTCAGTTCCAATGTGTTCCAGTTCCAGAAAAAAAATGTAGAACATGCTGCATTTTTTCTGCACCGAAGTGTACTGAAATACAGTAAAACACATCAAAAACACACTGGAATGCACTGAAATGCACCAAAAACACACCAGAATGCACATGCCCTTATTTAAAGTGGAGCTCCACCCAAAAAGGGAAGTTCCACTTTAAGCCACTTTTTGTCCCTTGCTCCCCATTAAGGATTGGCACTTTTGGGGAGCGGGGGGGTGTGGGTACTCGAATTTGACAGGTATTCACTCCCACTTCTGTTGTCCTCCCCCCTCCCTCCACATAGTCTTCTGGGACACGTGACAGGTCCCAGAAGACTATGGGGCCATTCACAAAGCGCAGCGCTTCTCGCGCATGCGCAGTGGGTGCCCATACTGAAGATGCTGGCGCCAGGGAGGGAAGACGGACGGTGAAACCAGCGGTTGTGAGGACATCGCTGCACCGAGGGACAGGTAAGTGTCTGTATTTTAAAAGTCAGCAGCTACAGTTTTTGTAGCTGCTGCCTTTTATTTTTATTTTTTTTTTAGTGGAACTCTGCTTTAAGTTGAAAATAAAGAGAGGGGAAACAATTTACTGGAATGCATCAAAAAACACACTGAAACGTGTCAAAAACGCGCATACAGAAGCGCATCAAGAATGCATCTGGACTGCATTTCTATGGTGTGGACTGGCCCTTACGGCAGATTGTCCATGTAGCATTTACTTCCTGGAATCCATCTGGGCATGCAGACAGGAGAGTGCACTTATCTGAGAAAACCCTCCTTCCGTCTGCTAGATGAAGAAAAAAATGCCCATGTAGACTGCAGGGATGTATGACATCAATTTGGCCTAGGCCAGAAACCAGGAAATAATAAAAAAAAATAAAAAAAATATGGTTAAAACAAGTAGGTGTAATATAATTTCCTATCTGTTTACTAAGGCTAGTAGCATAAGGATTAAATACTGTATATTTAATGTTGATTGAGAGAGTTTACTTCTACTTTAATGGTAGCTCTACTAGCTAATACTTACAGTGGGGATCGAAAGTTTGGGCACCCCAGCTAAAAATTTGTATTAATGTGCATAAAGAAGCCAAGGAAAGATGGAAAAATCTCCAAAAGGCATCAAATTACAGATTAGACATTCTTATAATATGTCAACAAAAGTTAGATTTTATTTCCATCATTTACCCTTTCAATATAACAGAAAACAAAAAAATGGCGTCTGTAAAAGTTTGGGCACCCTGCAGAATTTATAGCATGCACTGCCCCCTTTGCAAAGCTGAGACCTGCCAGTGTCATGGATTGTTCTCAATCATAGTCTGGGAAGACCAGGTGATGTCAATCTCAAAGGTTTTAAATGCCCAGACTCATCTGACCTTGCCCCAACAATCAGCACCATGGGTTCTTCTAAGCAGTTGTCTAGAAAACTGAAACTGAAAATAGTTGACGCTCACAAAGCTGGAGAAGGCTATAAGAAGATAGCAAAGCGTTTTCAGATGTCAATATCCTCTGTTCGGAATGTAATTAAGAAATGGCAGTCATCAGGAACAGTGGAAGTTAAAGCAAGATCTG